GTGATCGGCCATTCGGATGTACGAGAAGTAAAAAATAATAATAACTTCGGGTCCAGTTGTGTAATCGATGCGAGGCAATCTGTTTGTAAATGAATGTGTTTGGGTTGACATCGAACAGTGAACGAATGATTTCGCATAATGTCATTGAATGTGACATGTTTTGTCCTTTTCCGAGTTGTACCCATTATGATTCCGGATAAAGGAGGGTCCGGGAACAGTGCGCATTTGTACACAGACACTGGCACCCACACACACACACACACACAAACACACTCAGTTGACAGATCCCACTGTCCATTACCAGTGTCCAGATTCAAGTCCCTTTCGATCGTGTTCGATGGTGGTGGTGGTGGTGGTGGGTGGTGGTGGTGGAGTGAGGGGTTAATTTATCACACTGAACGTGTTCCTCAAATCAGTCCTCAGATCTGATCGTGAACGGTGCGTGTTTCACTCTACGTTTGACATATTTTCTGGGGGGATGCCAATGAAAGGTCACGGTAATCTGCATCGTATTATTCGCACTAAAACAGTGATCTAAAGCGTTGTCATTACCTATCCTTTGCATTAACCGTAAGTTTGAAATATGTGATTCCACTTGGTGATTATAGATGGATTGTGTTTGAAAACTGACTCTGATTACGACACTGTTCATTAACGGTGCTTAATTTGGAGTGAAGAGAGGTGAGCCGTATTCTCGTCCAATTTAGTTCGTTCATTTCTCTCACTCTATGACGAGTTTGATTGTATCTTTCACTGACTATAGTTCTCAGACAGCCACCATTTGACCCATCAGATCTTATCTGCGAAAAATTGTACTGCTCTAACAAATCCGGTTGAGCTCTGAACAATAGATAAAACTTAACTCTTATCCGTACAACACCGCCTTCATAACTGATAATTTTCTGTTGATTTGCGTACCGCCATCAGTACAACCAACACGAACAACAAAAGTGATTTATATGGACAATTGGGTGTGTGAATGAGACGCGAATTGAAAAGCTGGAAGTCACTGGGCAGGTGTTTTGACGTGGTTGGGTCCCATCAGCAGTGCTAATCCATCAACAAAGCGTCAGTTGGTGAAAGTTTCCAACCGAGTCATAACCCCGGAGACTAGTGCTGAGATTAACGAGGACCGATACTCGCAACACGCTCGCATAGATCGGTTGAGCTATGTCGTATATATTCAAAATGAGAAACGGTCTAATTAGCTGCCCCGTGTTTCAGTGAATGGTATGCTTGCCTTCTGTCTGCCAAGTCCCAGCAGGTTCGATCCCCAGTTGGGCTGATGGATTCGCACCGATGATGAGAGCGAACCAGGTTTAAACAGCTATCCGTTGATTCCAACCTTTTCAGCTCACCCCTCGTTTACACCACGAATTTAACGTATAAACGCCAAAGTTGTCATCCTCCTCATCATCATCACTAATACTATCAAGAAAAATACTGTCATATTCATAACGGAAGAAAATTATCGCTCTTCAATGACATCGTATGCGTTCCATCCTTACAGTCCAAATATAATGACACTTATAAATCGTGACTTGCATTCTGCTGTTGATCTTTGGTTCTGAGTTACAATCAACGAACAATATTCACAATAGATCACACTTCACATTTTACTTGCCCGATAATCTGCACCTCG